TGAAGTAAAATAGCTAGAGAATATGATTGCACCTGTCCCCTTAGCATGGATTCCCATGCTAGCCAATATAAAATCTTCACTGTTAGAATCCTCCTGTCAATATGATAGAATGAACAGCAAGCTCAGTGTCAGAAAACCTGTGTTGTTAACTTGGCTCTCTTTCTAGCTGAATGTGTGGCTTTGGTCAAATTCTTTGGCATTTCAGACTCAGTGTAGTGAAGGAAGTGGATAAGATGACCTCTACATTCTCTTGCAAGCTCAAACATCTGTGAATCCAAAGAGAAAAACTAGAGCATGAAATTACCCTACGCTAGAAATCATTTTAAAGAAAAACTTTAAAATTATTAGTATTCAAGGATTTCCAATATATTAATGGCACCACTCAAAACTTTCCTTCAGCTCTATCCTATCTTGGCTCAAAGTTATCTCCTTAATGAGGTCTACCCTAACCATCCTACTTAAAATCGTAAACTTTGCCCACCTGGTACTCCCACTCTCCTTCCCCTGTTCTGTTTTTCTCCATAACACTTTACTCTTTTTAACATACAAAATTACTCATTTAGTATGTTGTTATATACCTGCCTACTCTTACCACCAAATATAAGTTCTACGTAGGCAGGGATTTTTGTGTGTTTTGCTCATGGATATATACCAAGCACTTAGAGTAATACATGATATATACAGGGTTCTTGATTAATATTGTTGAGTGAATGAATGAATTTCCAATACAAATTAAAAATAAAGTATTTCCTAACTTAAAATTGTAAAGTCAGATCTAACCAACTATTCATTGGTCTACTAGCAGTGTTTCTTGTATATGGAAGTATATTTTAAATAGATATATCCTGTGAAATAATACTAAGCATTTTAAAGAAATAAGCGAGTGAACATTACCTCATTGAACTAATTTGACCTCGCTCCCGGGAGAGAGTTCATTTGAGAGTAAGCAAGTTCAAAGTCTATGAATCATAAAACAATAAAAAAAAAAAACTAAAAGGGAAATGGTGTTTTTATAAGCTCTGCAATTCAAAAGCCATTTTAGGTAATATGGTTATTTTTATGTCAGGAATTCCTCAGTGCTGATATCGTACAGCAAAGGTTTTGGTTATAAATTAAGAGAATTATAAAACAGATATATAGTAGGATGGCTCCAACCAAATATGTGTTGAATGTCAAAGGAATTTCCCTGAGGAATAATCTTCAGAATAATTTACTAAGCACAGGAGAAAATTTGGCTCATTACTTTATAGCCAGATTTCATTTTTAATTGAAACTTCTTTTAAGTAAATCACTTGCTAGTCTATTAACAATAACAACATAAGCACAAGTAAGCATTTAGAATATAGACATCCAGGTACTAAGCTAATTGCTTTACATTCACTGTCTCATTTTATAAATGAGAAGTTTTAGTTGCAGCAAAAGAAATAATTTTTCCAATATCGAATGACCAGAACTTAATCCCAATCTGTTGGATGCTAAAGTCAATGTTCCTCACTGCAATGTCGGGTTATCTCGTTTCTAAAACTTAAATTTATCAGTAAAAGGCAAAATTTGCTATTACTGAGGACATTAAAATCATATTTCTGTAGACTCTGGGGACAAATCCAACAAAATAGTTCAAACTATTTCTTGGCAGGCATCATCGAATTGGTGCATAGCTTTCTTGGGTATTGACTTTGGAAAGGAAGTTGGTCACTTTAGATATATAAGTTCAGTTTGTTTGTAAAAACAAAATGAAAACAAAACAGTTGTCTTATATGCTAACATTATTCTAATAGTTTTCACTTCTAAAAACATACACACACAGAACTTGAGGGACTTCACATGGCTCATCTTCATATTGTCAGCATCTAGCAAAGTATTTGCCACATAGTGATGAATAAAAGTTCTAGCCAGCCTGGGCAACATAGTGAGATCCTTTCTCAACAACAACAAAAAATTAGCCAGGCAAGGTGCTGCACACCTCTGGTCCCAGCTACTTGAGAGGTTGATGTAGTGAGATCCTTTGAACACAGGAGGTTGAGGCTGCAATGAACTGTGATTGCCCCACTGAGCTCCAACCTTGGTGACAGAGCAAGACCCTGTCTCACACACGCACACAAATTAAGTAAAGAAAAAAAAATCAAAGAGAAAAATAATTCCCCCAGCATAAGTCCATCTTTATTTGTTCGGATAAGCTATAAAATGTCAAATAATGCTATTAATGGACATTGCTCTAAGTATCCCAAAAGAAAAATTGAGCACATAGTATGTGCTGCATTTTGTATACAGAATAAAAATAGAGACAGGATTTCTACTCTCACAGAACTTAAATTCTTCAGGAAAATAGCAATGAAGTCCTTAATTGGATTTTTCTGTATTATCTTCCTCAAGTGGAGGTATATGGTGCTTAGTTATGACAAGTACCTCTGGGGCTTTGATCTTCTCAATAACTCTTTGAGGCTGATATGAAAAAAGGAATTAGAAAAAAAAAGTATCCAACTTATATAGATAGTTGATGACCAAAGCTAGAATCCAGTTATTTCAGGCTCTCCTGTATTTTCTTATTACTTAAGGAGAATCTCTATCTCTACCTCTTTCTCTCTTCTTCCTCTCTCACTTTTCTTAGAAACGTGGATAAGATTTTCAGAAATATGAGAAACTTATTAATGAAAAATATTGGGAATTTTCACTGTTTCTTGTTTTAGCCAGTTAATTTTGACCTTCATCCAATGTGACTAATAAGCAGTAAACTCCACTGAGAGACAGATACCAATAACCAGGATTCTGAAAATTCATTCTCATCCCCATCTCCAAACTTTTATAAAAATTTATTATAAAATAATACACTTTTAGTATAGGAAATTTCTCAAATACAGAAAAAGTTAAAGTAAAAAACTCAGACCTAACTTTCATCACTAAAAGATAATCACTCTTGACACTTTGATATCTTTATTTCTAGTATTATACCAATTAATTTGCTTCATATAGTGAATATTATGCTGTTATCATTTTCCCCTGCCTTTTTTCCTTGCATACTAGCATAGGTGTTTTCTGAGGTTATCACAAGCTCTGTAAGCACATTTTATATTACTACTTTTTAAAAGAGGATGTGTAATAATGAATTCATCCATATATATGTGATTAAGTATTCAGGTCACTGCTCATTTTTTACTGTTATAAAATAAAGCAGCAATGAATATCTTTGGCTGATATTTTTTCCCGTACTTGGAATTATTTCTTTAAGATAGATTTCCAAAAATTGAATTAATGAGTCAAACAGACTGAAGTTTTCCTTATATATGTTTCCTTATTCATTTGAATAATTTTCAACTCCCACTTGTTTTATTCAACTCTTGTGAGCATGTGATAGTCTCATTTTTCAAAATATCTATGGTGTTTTAATTTGCGTTTCTTTGTAGTTAGCATGAATATTTCAGTATGTCTTCTTCTGTGTCCCCATATACTACATACTTTTTTGTATGCATTGCCTATTTGCATCTTTTGCTCAGTTCTATTTAGACCTTTGAATTTTTTCTTATCCATTTATATGCGCTCTTTATAAAGAATATTAACCTATTGTGATATTTGCAATAAATAGCTATATGGTTTGTTGTTGGCTTTAAATGTGAATTTATTCAATTTTCTTCATAATTTTGTTGTTTTTATAGATTTCTTTAAAAGTAATCCTTATAATTATTTCCATATTGTTATTTACCTTCAATGTCCATTACTAGCCCTTTCCAGTCATCACTTTTACTCTCATGTTCTTAACTTTTATTCGTATCTTGGCTCCATTGACCACATTTATTAGGATATTTGGGAAATACTACTATTTAGTCTATACCAAACACACATCAAATCTTACCTTATTTTCTTCTTACAAAAACCCTAGGAAGATGCTGTTTTTGTCTTTATTTGAATGACAGAGATACCAAGTTTTTTGAGAGGTGGAGTATTTGTTCAAAGCCACACAGCTAGTAAGTTATGAAGTTGGAATTCTAAGAGTTGCCACTTCATTTTCTTATTTCCCTTGATCTTACTCAGTTGTCTTCTCTACTCTTAATTTTGTCATTCATTTGAAAACATTTCTTGTGCTATTATGGTAGGGGGCAGTGACTTACTCAGAGAGATGATTCTCTAATGGAGTTTTAAAGATATTAGAAGTTGATTGAGGAGGCAGGGCATGGTGGCTCACGCCTGTAATCCCAGCATTTTGGGAGGCTGAGGTGGGCGGATCACTTAAAGCCAGAAGTTCAAAATCAGTCTAGCCAATGTGGTGAAACCCCATTTCTACTAAAATTACAAAAATTAGCCTGGTGTGCTGGTGCACTCCTGTAATCCCAGCAACTCAGGAGGCTGAGGCATGAGAATCGCTGGAACCCAGGAGGTGGAGGTTGCAGTGAGCCTGGATTGTGCCACTATACTGCAGCCTGGGCGATAGAGTAAGACTCTGTCTCAATAAAAAGAAGTTGGTAAGGGAGATAGTCCATGGCAACGGATCTTTCAAGGCACACTAATGATAACTCAGGCATTTAGCCTACTAGTGAATTTCCATAAATCTGTCTCTGATGTCATACTCTCAGCACTTAATATTTTCTACAAACATTTACTGAAACTTTATTTTGTATAAGTCTCTGTCCAGTTAGAATATTTTAAAAAACTCATCATCATATGAAACATTAATAAATACAAAATGAGAGGTGCAGATACTGAAAAGTAGGATTGCGGAGTGGTAGAAAATATTTCCGGCTGGATTAGATGGGGAAGGGTTCGAAGAGGAGTATAATTCAGGTTTCTATTTGCCATTGATTTATCACGTGGCTAAGTCACTAAGTGACTTAATTAAAATTAAATTAATTTATCATCTGATCACCATTTCACACAAGTCATATCTGTCGCTGTATTGGCTAAATGATGGCAAGACAAACAACCTCTGAAAATGATCATATTGACCTTCCGAATCTGGATTTTTTTCTTTCAACGCAGTGACCATAGAAGCAATCTGATGTAATCCAACATGAGTTCAAGTACAGTCATTTAATATCCCCCATGATTACATCAATCACATGTCCCATGTCCTTCATACATAAAAATCATTACACATGAAAGGGTGGAGAGTGTGTGGATCCTGTATTATTGTTAACACAGCTGAGTCATATATCTTGCTCTTTGGACTGGGTGGAAACTTGTATTCTTTCTCTGCCTCAGGTCGATTAAGTTCATTGAGGTGAGTTGCATTCCTTCTTTAAGCATGTTGAGCCTTCAATTTGGACTCAGATCGGCTAAATAGGAGAGCTAGGAAAAAGAGAGAAAATAAATTATTAGAGAGATCAGAGAAAGATACATAAGATTTACAATAAAAGTGTTACGAGAAGAACATCCAGAAGAATTAAAAACCATAGGAGAAGGAAAAATAGGTGAACAGCTTTTTATTTTCTATAAATGTGTTGTTAATACTCATAATACAGGACTCAGAGAGCTGGGATATGAGAATAATTGGTCAATCATATATGGATAAATAGATGTGACTACATACATGAGTGCTGAAGAATGCTAAGGAAGGGCAAAAAGAGATTGAGAAGAGGGCATTACTACTAACATATAACAATGTTGAATGTTTAGAATGTTTCAGGCACTGTACAAATCTTTTAAATATACAAATCACTTAATCTTGCCATAACATTAGAAGGTACTATCTACTCTTTACCAAAGTGATAACTGTGGGACAGCAGGGTTAAGTAACCTGTTCAAACCTACGCATAATAATCAGCAGAGACGGTCCTTATCTAAGTTTTTCTGCCTTTGAAGTCCAAATAGTTTAATGGAGCCAGGTACTAAAGAAGAAAACTTTTGTAAATTAATTTAACGATTTACACGTGGAAAGGCACAGAGTGAAAAGAGCCTATGATCTGAGAAACCCAGTGAGTTTGGCTGAAATGGAGTGAATACATGTTGAGGGTGAGGAAGATGATTAGAGAGAAGTGATGTGTTGTGGTTCTTAAAAGCTAAGAGGAAACTATTAGATGTGATATAGTCTGTGGCAGGGAGCCATTGCAGGTTTTCCAAGATGAACTCCTAAGAAGAAAACACTTCATGGGGCTGAAAAAGGCAGTGAAGTGGAGTGTCCTATGATAACGTACTATAGTGTAGGGTAGTGGTTAAGAGTGCAGTTATGAGAGAGGGACTACTGGTTAGCAGCTTACCTGCTGTGTGACTGGGCAAATAACGCAAACCTCAGTGTCTTTTATTGTAATATGGGAGTAACAACAATAGTAACTACTTCTCAGGATTCTTGTCAAGATTAAATGACAATCTCTTTGAAATGCTTGGCAGTTCCTGATAAATGACCAGTAGTTAATAAATATTAGTTGTTATTATCATTATATATTATTACTCCCACAGATACATATAGAACAGACTGCAGCAGAGAGGCAAATCTTTAGTATTCTGAGAGTATAGACAAGTTGGTGAAATGGCTACATGAGGGCGGAGGACAAGAAGGTGCAGAAGGTGACAGTCACTTCAAATGGAAATATCACTGCTTGATGAAGGTATGTGAGTGTCAACTTGCAAGGGGACTAAGTAGGTTTCACCAGAAATTAAGGAAGCCTGAGGAGAACAGCCAAGTCCAGCTTGACAGGAGTGGTGGTAGCACAAATGCAAGACTGGTATCTTTCAAGAAGCCAAGGACTGTTGAAAGTAGCAAGAGCTAGTTTGTTTTAGGTCCATCATGTTTTATATTCACATTTTCATGTCAGTGGAGCAAAGAAATTGAATACAATATAATAGAATGGTAGAATCTTATTTTTAAAATATCTGTGCTATTCTGATCTTTAACTTACTTATATCCTTGATAGAGATCTTTACCTGATGCTCAAGATTGTAGAAACAGTATAATCAGCCTAACAACATAGCACTGTATTTATATCCTGCACTGTTGAGGGAGGGTTTAAGGCCATTCAAAAGGATACATAAAATACAACAAGATTACATAGATGAAAGGTGAGATAAAGGAACAAAGCAAAACAAAAGTGAAATCAGAGATCATAGGCACAAATAAGATTAAAAATGCATGTGATAAAGATGAAAGCTTATACATTTACCCCAGATGGACCACAGGGTTGTTGTTAAGACTTTAAACAGTGAACAGTGTTAGAAGCCTAATTAACAATTTGTTTAAAAAAAAAAAAAAGAAGAAGAAGAAGAAAAGAAAAGAAAACTTCATTGTAAGGCCAAGAACAAAATATGTCAAGGTAAGGAAAATTTGTAGTCAAGAATAGAAAAAAACTATGGCTTTGAAGTATGAGTTATTTAAAGAAAGAGGAAATATCCTCAGACTATGCAGTGAAAAACAAAGTGATTTTCTTCTTCTAAACTTATGCAATAAACTGATAGGTAGTATGTCCAAGTCATAGAATGTAGACTAGAGGATAAAACAAACCTATTTCCTCTATGTTCATAAGAAGAAAAGCTCTGATGTGAGTTAGCACTGCTTTACAATTTTGATTTGTGCAGATTGCACGTACTTTTCCTCAGTTTGAAACAAATAGTGGACAGGAAAAAATACTAAATGTTGGCAGTAAATATGGAAGGAAATTATAACTAATGTAATATGCTAAAACATGCTATGTTTATTTTACTAATTTGAATTAAAATGTAAGAATTTGAAATGCCTGGAAAAACACGGGCATTGATCTGACGTCTGAAGTTTTAAAATATTACACGCTTTGAAACAGCATTTCTACCTTGAAATACCTGTCTCTCTATATTTTTTAAAACTTCCTTTTTCTTTCATTCCATTTATCATCAAATAAAGGATGAACAGATATAACTCAGAAACTGTCAAACATGCTGAAGAAAGACCACTGCAGAAAAAATTATCCTGGCCTTTTCAAAGGTGTTAGGAAGCAGAATGATGATACAGAATTGGAGAGGTCGTAGTTTTTGTATTAACTGTATTAAACGCAAATCCCGAGAAAATTTCCCTTAACTACGTCCTGTTGTTGTATTGATACGAAGACGTACGTGAACTTCGAGAGACATATCTCTACAAGTTCAAATGTCCCCGATGATTCAGCTGATGCGCGTTTCTCTACCTTGCCCTTTCTAGAGAGGTGCAACGGAAGCGAGAACATTCCTCCTCGAAATTCAGCCTGTTTCGCAGTTTCTCGAGGAATCAACATTCAGTCAATCCGGGCCCGGAGCAGTCATTTGTGGTGAGGCTGATTGGCTGGGCAGGGACGGCGCCAGGGCGTGGGCTGAGCACAGCCGCTTCGCTCTCACAGGAGGTCTGAGCTCATTCGAGCAGCTGCTCTTCCAAGCTCAAAGAAGCAGAGGCCGGCCGCTGTTCGTTTCCGCTAGGTCTTTCCACTAAAGTCGGAGTATCTTCTTCCAAAATTTCACGACTTGGTGGCCGTTCCAAGGAGCGCGAGGTAGGGGCACGCAAAGCTGGGTGCTACTACCGGACAGTTCCCAAGAAATGTCAGGCTCTCAGATTTCCTGAACTTGGTCTTCACGGGAGAAGGGCTTCTTGAGGCGTGGATGGTGTGGAGACCGCTAGCAAGTCCATGGGGACCAAGTGGGTGAGATCTAGACTCAGGAGCTCCTGGAGCAGCGCCCAAAGCGTAGTGGCACTGGACCATGTTGCCCAGAGCGCTCAGAGCCCGCGCGGTGAGGGGACCTGGTCTCTGAGCCCGCGGGCGCTTGGTGGGAGGCAGCATCGTCCGCGGCGACGGGAACCGGGAGGGAGAAGCGCACTGGCGGCGGGCACAGTCCAGAACGCGCTGCCAGACCCCCAACTCTGCCTGCGTGGAGGTGCTGGAGACCCTGCGCACAGGAAAGCCCCTGCCGTGCCCATCGCGGCCAGAGCAGCTGGAGTATCATGGCAAGCGCTCCCTCTTACTGCTCTCTGGGGTTCGGCGGGGGACTAAAGGTTAGTCTCACCAACGGCGCGCCTGAGGGTCATGCATTTGGCTAATGAGCTGCGCTTTCTTCTCAGGTCGGGATGGATCTTGAAGGGGACCGCAATGGAGGAGCAGAGAAGAAGAACTTTTTTAAACTGAACAATAAAAGGTAGCTGGTTTCATTTTCATAGTTTACATATTTGAGAGTTGAGTAATTTATTTCTAGCCTCCAGCTCTGAATTAAACGACATATTGTTGTTGTTTTAAATTATTTTTATTTTAAGAAACGCAAGCCAGCCTTTGGAATCATTTCCCTGCTTAAAGCAGAAGTTTGTTGGCTGCCTGGAGCACAGCATATGCATTTTCCCTGTCTTTTTTGTTCTTTCTTTTAATGATACATAATATTTTACGTATTTATGAAATGGGGTACATGGAAGCGTTTTTTAACATGCACAGAATGTGTAATGATCAAGTCCGGGTATTTGGAGGGTCCATCACCTTTGGGTATATTTCATTTCTATGTGTTGATAACATTTTAAGTCCTCTCTTCTAGCTACTTTGAAATATACAATATATTCCTAACTATAGTCACCCTCGTCTGCTGTCGAACATTGGAACTTATTTGTCCTATCCAACCGTTCTTAGCCATTCACCAACCCCTTTTCATTCCACTCTCTTACCCTTCCCGGCCTCTTTCCCTTAGTCTTGGTATGCCTCTTCCTCAGCTTTCCTGCCCCAGACAGGCGGATGCTCATACGTGTTTCTGTCTTGTGAACTTCTGCTTTTCAAGTGGTGCTGGTCGCCCACACGTGAGCCATACGCTGCTGGTGATCTGCTCTGTGGTCCAGGCTCTTGCTTCCGGTGAATGGCTATGTAAACATCGCGTGTTTGTGGCCTGGCTGATGGAACAGAAGGTCAAAAGTACATTTAGGTTGTTTTTATTTTAACTGGCAATAAATATCTGTATATAATATTGGTAATGTAATCACATAGGGAAAATAATTATTTAAAGTAAATTTTGATCATGGTGCTCTGCCGTTGTAGAAAATTTAAAACTTCACTCTATAGATTCATTGTTAGTAAATTGTAAGATAAATTAGTAAATTTATTAATATCAGAAACTATAATGTAAATTATGTTAGTAAACATATTAATATTATAAGAAACCAAGCTTTTCAGTGTAAGAGAAAAAATACAAATGTGGAAATTAAATATATTTTTAAAAAATAATGTTAAGTTTGCATTGGAAATTTCAATATGAATTCATAATTTTTTAATTGTTCATTTTCACTCCACTGAAAGGGAGAGTAACAACGAGCACTGTTAGTACCAGATACTGGTTTCTAAATACCATTCCTCCCTAAAAGAAATGAACACCTCAATAGCTAATTTCAGCCAGGTCTGGGACAGGAAAAATAGAAAAAGAACCTGGAGTATCTTGTGTTACCTGAAAATAAGGAAGTGGAGTTTAATGGAGTAATCAAAAGCATACTCGAGCTGTCTGGAAGGGGCTTCCAATGGCCAACTCTGGGACAATTTGAGCATCAAAGAACAGCATAACTGTAATCGATTTTGAAATACTGAATGCTACTGTTGAATCCTTAATATTCTGAGAGGAGGGAAACTGAAAGAAAGTGTGAGAGGTAGAGAAAATAAAGCAATGATCTTTACAGAAAAATTCCAGCTATTATTGTGAAACTTCTACTGTTTATAATAGATTCAGGCAAGGATTGGCAATGAACTCTGAACCATCAGAAAAAAGTTGTAAGAATTTTCTTCAAAATGTTTACTAATTGGAAGGAGAATGTGCTTTTCCAATTAAAGATTTTGCAGTTAGCACCTTAACCAAGTGATCAGACCTGGTATCTCTCATTGTAGAGTAGACTGTAGTAAATGACTTATCACTTGGATTTTGACTAAACAACATCACCTGGCAAATACTAATATATCTGCAAAATCATTTAGTCTGAATGCAATTAAACTTGTAGACTGGGACTGTCCGATAGATTTATCATGTGAGTCACATTTGTAATTTAAAATTTTCTAGTAGCAATAGTAAAAACTAAAAATAAAAGGATAAAACTAATTTTGTAAATATATTTAATAGAACTCAATATGTCCAAAAGATTGGATTTTCTACATGTAATCAAAATGATTAATAAGATAGTTTACATTCCCTTTTATGCTAAATCTCCTGTTTGATGTGTATTTTACATTTATTGCACCTCCCATTTGTATTCAGTTTGATACAGGTATACTCAAGATGTGGGACATTCTATAAGACAGCTCTTCTTGTTCCTTTACAAAAGCCAATGTTAAAAAAATAAAAGGAGGACTTCTAGATTAAGAGAGACTAAAGAGATATAACTACCAAATGTAGCGTGTGAACATTACAAAACAAAACAAAAACAACGTAAATGTTCAACAAGGAAAAAATCCTATGGAAAACATTCTTGGGAGATTTTAATGTGCATTGGATATTAGCCAATATAAAAATTGTAATCACTTTTCTTAGATGTGATAATGGTAGGAGAACATGTGATTGAAATTGAAAATTTTTGTAACAAAAACGTTCATATAAACCATGAAAAAGGCTCCATAGAGTGGAGGATAGGTATTCCACTTTTTGTTTTTAACTTTTTATTTCTGAAAACTTGATAGCTTAAAGAATTATGTACTTATACAAACGTTTAGGTAGATTTAACTAAGAAATATTGAGGGTATGTGAAGGGAAACAGTAAAGAAAATTGTTTGATCTTTCACGTATTTCTATTATTGGTTCTATCATGGTCTACAGACTTCTCTTTTCAAATTAGAGATTATATTTTAGATAAGTAGTTCTTATTAAATTGTGTTCATTGTCATTGATTTAAATTTATTTTAACATGGGATTGTAAAGAAGCATGTGGCTTTGGTAGTAGATAATGCTGGGATAATAGTGCTATTTGGAATGTGTCTATTAGCAAAGGTTCTTTCCTAAAATGGTATTTGATGAATGACTTGTCTTTCTAAGCACTGTGTTTTGTGCTAATGGGGTTAAGTACCTAATCTAGTAGGGGTGAGAGTTTGTGTGAAAGTGCATTTTAGTGTGATGCAGTATCTCAGAAATCTGAGGTTGCACCTTATAGTTTGGTGGTCAGGGAACAGACTTGGCATTTAAATATTGGCTTAGTTATAGCTGTGGACCTTGGACAAGTTAACCCTTCTCACTCCTCTACATCTCTAAAAGAACAAAAATGTGTCTTCCTCATAGAATTGTTTATGAATTGTATGTAGGAAGTGCTTACTTAGCCAGTGCCTGGAACATTATAACTTCTCCAGAGTAGCAGCAGTTTTAGAGAACAAAAAAATAAATAAAAAGCTTAGAGCTAAAACTCAACTATTTATGGCTGTTTTTCTCCTTTCATCCTGGTTCCAGGGATACTGAAACCATGCCTTTACTGGGAATTGGGTGGGACCAAACCTGAAGAGTTATGTTTGTGTATTTTATGTCTGTCTAACATTACTCCAAAGCCAAATGGGTAAACTCTGGATTTTTTTCTTTAGAAGTCTCCTCACCTCTTTTGACCTCACTTAGTGTAAAGAACAAAGACAAAGATGACTTTACCCTATGAACTTAAAAACTGTGTAAAAAATAACACAAATCTTTTCTAAAATATTTTTTCTTTTATACCTACAAAAATACAGATGAGGCAGATTTCTTACGGTTGGTTTGCTTTCACATCCCAGGTGGCAGTTACACAGAGTAGAAAATGGGCTACATAGTTAGATTCATTTGTATCTGGGCTCAAAATAATAGTTGACCTTATGCCTGAGGACAACTTTTTGACAATTTATAGAACATCATTTTTTACCATAACTTTCTAGAGTGCATTTATTTCATTATGGTCCATTTAGGGCTCCAGACATTTTTTTTCACAATTAGATTTGCTCATAAAGAGTAATTTAATTTTCTTCTTAGGCTAGTTATGTCCAGCATCTAATTGCCACTACACTTCAGTAGAAAGGGAATGATTAAGAATAATATCTAGGTAGTAGATGGATAAAATATCTACTGCCATCATTATTCAAATGACAAGGGGATTCATAATTAAGGGGAAAGATGAATGATTTTCTAATTAGAATAAAAACAGGTAACTTTTTTCAGTATGTGTATTTTTCTAATTGCAATGGGTGTATGTATGTATTCATCATAGCAAATCAGAAAATGTCAAAGGCACAAGGAAGAAAATATTTTTAGAGAGATTCCAACACTCAGTGATAACCACATATGTAGATTTCTAAGATATATGTAAACATACTTAAACATTATAAATGGGGTTATACTATTATTATCCTGTTTTTTAAGTGTATAATATAGACATATTTCTTCATCCTATTTGTCATTAAATATACATTCTATATTAATTTGGGTAATTTATAAGTTGTGTAATTTCTAAAGTTTTATGTAATTCCATTGCTGTTTTGCAGTAAAAAAGATAAGAAGGAAAGGAAACCAACTGTCAGTGTATTTTCAATGGTGAGTTTTGAATTTATGAACTATTCAAAATACTTTGGAAATTTGACATCTCCTTACATGGAAAAGAGATATTTCATCTGATGTAAGATTTTCTTACAGGGTATGTTAATGGAGAAGCAAAATAAATTGGTTGATTTAGCTTATTTTCAGGAGAATGTTAATCATAACTTGCTATGTATATTACTAATCTACAGCCACCATTCCTGACTTAGATTTCAATTCTTCTAATGAATTACGTTGCCAGTGATTCATTATCTACGCAAGTACCTCTCCTATCTGCATAAAGGAAACCAATCACATAGAAAGCTGTCTTTAATGGCTCTGAAATTCTGGCAGGTTTTTTAGGTCAAAGTCCATTGCTATCAAAAAAAGGCAGCAATATATTATTTATTACTATGCAAACTTTACGCCATTTAGGTTAGTCCATTGCAAATTTTAGTTCAAAATCCATTTCTAACAATAAAAGGTAGCAATTGATTATTTATTACTATGTTTTCAAATATGTCATATGCCATTGTTCCCCTGTGCTAAATGGATGAAAATCTAGAATTCGAAAACCTTATCGTAACTCTTTATTTCATTTTCTGGTTGCATAGTGGTTTTTTAGAAGCTTTTCTTTAATTACGCTTGGAATCAGACAGGTATCATATAGGTGTGGTTGGTTGATGACCTCAGTGTCATGATCTTGGCTCACTGCAACCTCCGCCTCCCAGCCTCAACTGATCCTCTCACCTCAGCCCTGCAAGTACCTGGGACCATAGGTGTGCACCGTCATACCCAGCTAACTTTTGTATTTCTTGTAGAGACAGGGTTTCACTATGTTGCCCAGGCTGGCCTTGAACTCCTGATCTCAAGCGATCCGCCTGCCTTGGCCTCCCAAAGTGCTGGGATTACAGGTGTAAGCCACTGTGTGCCCTGCCTAGTTAATGACCTCTTATCTACTTGGATTCTTCCTTTTTTCTAAGAGTACAATTTTAGGTGAACTGTTAGGTGAAAGATTCCAGAGATTAGAACCTGGAAGACTGCTAAACCAATGAAGTCTAACAGCACATGCTTTATAATTCAGTTGTAACAGCAATTTTTTTAAGGTAAGGGAATGGATAGATTGTCTTGTAAAATGGATTTTAATAAATTGACTATAAAATAGTTGTAGGTAGGGAAAAAACACTCATATGACTTTTATACTGAGGACTTCACGGTTCCCTTATGTGATCTTCATCTCCCTGTGCTACTGTTGCTCTTGTCATGACTCCTGCTTTTTTTCTATCTCTATGCCCTTTGGAATTTTGGTGAGTTAAGACTATGTACTTGAGTCATTCTCAGACTACTTGAGTAACCAAGTGACAGTTTTCACTGTTACTTTCTTGT